ATGACATTCGTGACCAATAGTCACGGGGGAAAGGGGGATGGACTTTCAAAACGCATATGGGCCTACGGGCCGACTACTTGACTTTATATATAAAGTAAGTATATTTCCAAAGAGGGTAACCAAGGGTTATGGCCTATAATATAATATCACTCTATTTGAGGGTCTTGGAAATTGAAACATTGATTATACTTAGTATAGTTGTCATTGTACTTGTCAAATGCTTCCAAGTACTGACCTCCCCTTCACGGGGGAGGCCACCTCACAGTTTCAGGTAGAACTTGAAGGTTGCTACCATTGCCCGTTGCTCGGGAGATCCAAGGAGAGGAGACGTGGTTCATGCTTCCTCCGTATCCGTTTTAAAAACAATTATATTTAATGCTCATGGATATTATTTTCTGAATAATTATTTGGGGGCTTGTATGCCCATGTTTGCCACATGTGGCTTGAACACTTGTATAAATGTTTCCGCTGCTTTAATTGAATATTTTACATTATGTTTGTTTATGGATGTACTATGGGTGAATGGTATTCAAGACGCCTAGTATAGTATGGATGAGTTGGACTGCGGTTGACTATTCGTACTGTACAGCAGGTTGTTGACGTGTCCGGTAGGTCCGGGGCGTGACAATTTAATTGGTATCAAAGCCTTAGTCCGTAAACTTCATAATGAAGCTTCATAATTCCTTTTTGAAAATGATTTTTGCAAACCATGAGCATAAAGTTTTGTACTTATAGAACTTTCGGTACTTGAGTTGCAAGGTCTCTAATTGTTAAGATGGTACCCTTAACAATTGGTATGGCGGCGATTCGAGCCAAAGGATGTCTTTAAGTACCCATCCGTCAATTGACATTTGATACGGGTCTAATGACTCATTCCGAAATTTCTTTCAGAAATGGAACGTACCGGTAAAGCTACTCGACGAAACCCGACTGGCCAGGCACTGGGAAGGTCCAAACATGGCAGTTGAGGGGCATCGAGAGTGTCTAGGGGACAGGGCCGTGCAGGCCACTCGCTGACCATGAGTGACGGTCATGTTGAGACGATTGATGAGCATTACGAGTCCGAGGAGGACTCAACTTACCGACCAGAAACCGAGCCGGTTGAAACCCCATATGGTGGGGAGGATTATGACGAGAGTGAGGAAAGCGATGATAACGACACTCTTGGGAGGATGGAGGATTTGCTCCGTCAATACCAAGAGGAACGCCAAAGGCGCCGGGCAAGGCATGTTTTGGGAGGGGCTTCAAGAGGATGAAGCCATGGTGCCTCTAGAGCCCATGTTACACCACATGGAGGCCAAGGTGATGGGGGTCCAACCATAAGGATCTTGAAATTTATCAAAGAGGCGAGAGATTTGGGGTGCGAACCGTTCGATGGAACGGGGGACATTTCGGTTGCCGCACAATGGATCAAGAGGCTGAATGAAGCAGCCCTTGACATGTAAATCACGCCAAATCTTAAACTGAGAATTGCGGTAAGATTGCTTGAGGGGATGGCCTCCAAGTGGTGGGATGGGACCAAAGGCAAGTATGGCGAAACCGCCGTATGGGAGGACTTTCGACGAGAGTTCTTTTCCCAGTACTACTCTGACTTTGAAGTGAACAAAAAGGTGAGGGAATACACCCTTCTAACCCAAGGGGGTAACATGACGGTGAAGGAACTTGAATACAAGTTCAGGGACCTTGCCAACTACGTACCGGAGTATGCTTGTGACGAGAACCGAATGGTGAACCACTTTTGGGATGCCCTGGACTTGGAAATACGTGATAGGGCAACACAATTGCCTAACATGACTTTCGCCCAAGTGGTTGACCAGGGCCTCAAAGGAGAGAAACAGTGGGAAGAGAGGAAGAAGAGAGACGCCGACGAGGCGAAGAAAAGGAAATGGGAAGGCCATGACCCCCAAGGTTCTAGCAAAAGGGGTAACCACGGGGGAGGAGGATTATTCAGGACACCCGCATCACCATCTCGAGGAAACTCAAGCATGGGAGGGCAACACTCGGGGTCATACTCCTCGACGACGCCAAGGTCTCGAAAATGCAAGAAGAACCACACGGGCACGTGTCGCGATTCCCCTAAGTGCTATCAATGCGGGGAGGCAGGACACGTGAAGATGGATTTGCCCTCAACTTGGTGGAAACCGGGGATCGAGACTGAGTGGTGCGACCACGGCGAGTATGAATCGGGATGGAGAACCTCATGCAAGCATGGGGCATGGTGGAGCTAGCACAAGCCATGCACCATCCGTGAATTAAGGGAAGACCCAAGCTAGGGTCTTATGCCATGATGGAAGCGGACGCTCGTGCTAACCCGGACTCGGTTGCGGGTAAATTCTTAAAGCTCATTTTATTGACTCTATTTTTATGTACTAAGAGTCATAAGAGTCATCAGTATGAGTTCTATGACCCTCGGTCAGACCCGACCAAGTTTGACTTAAAAGCAAAGTAAGAAAAAATTGTTCTAAGCAAAAGCCGCCCGGCGTGCGTCCAAACCGCCCGGTTTTCGTGTGGATTTAATTGCTAAAGGACTACGGAGGCAACTACCGGCCGGTGTTCGTGAAACCCGGCCGGCATACGGAAATGTTTTATCGTAAAATGATGGGGTGAGGCTCGATCGCCATCCGACATTGGCACAAGCCGCCCGGCATGCGTTTGATTTAATTAAGAAAACCTGTGGCAAAAGACGTCGGCCGGCTTCCACGAATCTCGGCCGACATCTGTATATCATTTATTTTGGGTTAATTCTGCGGCAACGAAAACCGGCCGGCGTTCGTAGGAACCGGCCGGCCTTGACTCTGAGGGGGAAACACCACTCAGCCGATAAATGACCGGCTTTGGTAAAGACCGGGCGACTTTTGATGTTTAAATTCTAAATTAAAGTTCGGCGATGAAAACCGGCTGGCGTTTACAAGAACCGGCCGGCTTACGTAACAGATTCTTCCGAGTGATGGCTACTCAACAAGAACCGGCCGGCTTTTGCGAAAAGCGGCCGGCTTTCCCCTATTGGTGCGCAATGTTGACTTTTAAGGTGAGAACCGGGGCGGATTTGCGATGAAGCGTTGAACGATTATCATCCAAACCATAACCGGTATACTATTGACAAAAGAAATGGGTCTATTAAATAGGAAGTGTGTCTTACATTGCTCATGAATGTTGGAACACTAACGATTAACGGGAGAGATGCAAGAATCCTTATTGACACCGGGGCGCAACGATCATCCGTGAGTGAGGCGTTTGTCAGGGATTCAAGGAACCATTTGTACCGATGGCTCAAGCCCTATTGGTATCCACACCTCTAGGGGAAGACATCGGGAGAGATAGCCACGATCCATCGTGTGAGGTGGAAGTGGAGGGCCAAAAATTGACGTGTGATTTCGTACCGCTGAGTATGATAGAGTTCGACGCAATCCTCGGAATGGATTGGCTTAGAAGCATCATGCTAGGGTCGATTGGTGCACGAAATTACTTGAACTCGAAGGCGATGAATGGGTAACCTTACACTTCGAGGGGGATAGGGCCAAATCCAATAGTTGTATCATATCCGCCGTGAGAGCTAGGAGTATGATGAGAAAGGGATGTCACGCATATCTAGCATACGTGGTAGATAAAACCAAAGATGAGACGAACATCGACGATGTGAAAGTAGTGTGCAAGTATCCAGACGTCTTTCCAAAAGACTTACCGGGACTTCCACCCGATAGAGAGACTGAGTTTGTGATCAAGGTCGAGCCCGGCACCAAACCAATCTTCATACCGCCATACCGTATGGCACCCGCTGGACTTAATGAGTTGGAAACCCAAATTGCAAGAGCTTTTGGATAATGGTTTCATTGGACCAAGCCACTCCCCGTGGGGAGCACCGATTCTTTTGTGAAAAAGAAAGATGAGACGCTTCGAATGTGTATTGACCATCGTCAACTGAACAAGGTCACAATCAAGAATAGGTACCCTTTGCCTAGGATTAATGACTTGTTTGATCAACTCCGAGGAGCAACAATGTTTTCGAAGATTATTGGACTAGCATTGAATTTACTAGCTAGAAATGTTGGTATGAAAAAGTGATAGAACAAATCCTAAGGGCTTGGATTGTGAAAGATGTACCTTAAGTAGTCATATGAAATGCCTTAAAGTAGAAATGGGTAAACGCTAAGTTACCATAGGAGTAGACCTCAAAGGTTACTCGTAGTAGAGGAACTCTAGGCATAGAATTTGCTTAGTGAATTAGTATCGTGACTAGAGGAAGCCTCTAGCACGATGAGGAATGACTAGAGCAAACCTCTAGCATTCATGTAGGACGACTAGAGAAAGCCTCTAGTATAACGTAATGTGACTAGAGGAAGCCTCTAGCACAACGTATGTAAGGTGATTAGAGGAAGCCTCTAACACCAAGTTGAGTGACTAGAGTAAGCCTCTAGCACGATAATACATGGCTAGAGGAAGCCTCTAACATGACGAATTAATATAGATGAGCGTGGCTTGAGGCCACGGGGGGGGGGGGGGGATGGAGTTGATAAAGGACTACCTTATAGTATAGTCCGAGGAGTTTGAGGGCATTAAGAGCCCAATTGGGGGCATCTAGTGATGGTGCTTTATTGACACAATTTGAGTATGACCTACTTTACTTGATGAGATCAAGAAGGGTCAAGAAACTCACAAAGAACTTATGAAGGTCCGAGAACGCATGCTAGCGGGATCGGTGGAGGATTTCAGGGAGAGACGATGGTCTCCCCACGATACATCGGGCCATTTGTAACTCTTGAGAGAATTGGGGCGGTAGCAGGCCGATTGCAGACGACTCCAGAATTGGAGAAGATACATAACGTGTTCCACGTGGCTATGCTAAAGAAATATATGTCGGGTCCGTCTCACGTGTTAGAGAAATCACCCGTGGCAATATGTCACGCTCCAGACCGCGTCTGTGCCACGTGGACAACCGTCGTACAACCCAATAAGAATAACCGCAGTTCATCCTTATCGAATTGCACAAGACGTCCGATAGATACGTATGCCAAAACCGATTAGTAAACATACATAACAACATCAACATACAATTAAACACATAGCGGAATATAAGTGTTTAATAAGAACCCACACAAGGGTAAAACAAGAGCTCGCAGGCTCCATTAATTTATAAGTCAAAATAGTTCCATGAGCATTATTTAATTATTTAAAAATAGAATGAGAGGAAGCACGAACCACGTCTTCTCTCCATCGATCTCCCGAGCAACGGGTGCAGGAAGTAAGCTCTAGCTTCAACCTGAAAGGGTGGTTCCCCCGAGGGATCAGTACTACAGAAAAGTACTGGTGAGGGCAAACTGTATGTAATGTAACTAACGCTTCTCACGTGAGACCCTCTAAATAGGGTGATAGTATAATATGGGCATAACTCTTAACTACCCCTTTTCAAAACAAATGTATACATATATACATATGAGTAAAATATCCGGCCCGTGGGCCCATTTGTCTTTCAAAACACTTAGGCGTTACAGCCTTATTAAATTCACCCTCCCCATGTCTTACCCTCGAGTGGAGTCACCCGCAGGCTAACTCACCCGATATCAAATATATTTTCTTGTGGGGGCCCTTCGGACTCCCATATCACGGACATGGTTTAAATCAATTCCTAAACCAAGGAAAATATCCTATCGGAAACTCATTCCCGATCAGGCACGTTTAATCATTTAAAATCATTACCTTGAGGTTCACCTACCTCGAGGACTATCCGTCCTTACTATCATAGTTTTCATTTCCGGGTTAACCCCGCCTTGAGGAGTACGCATACACCCTCATCCTATGTGTAAATTAATGGAGGTTAACACACCTCAAGGACTACACGGGCCCTTGTTACCTATATGCAATTTGATGGAGGATACCACACCTCAAGGACTGCACTTGCCCTTGTTACCTATGTGTAATTTGCTGGAGGATACCACACCTCAAGGACTACACGGGCCCCTGTTACCTATATGCAATTTGATGGAGGATACCACACCTCAAGGACTACATTTGCCCTTGTTACCTATGTGTAATTTGCTGGAGGTTAACACACCTCAAGGACTACACAGGCCCTTGTTAACGTTTGAGTGTAGAGGACTCCTCCTGGTCCTACAGAGTATTATATAACCTTACTTGGTCCCGGGTATTCACCCGCCATGTATAATCTACCACGTACCTCGCCCGGTCGTGGTCTATAATTTATTCACTAATGACTAGTCCAAGTCTTAGCGTTTAAACCGTATTACAATCCTTAGCATTTTAAACATCATATTTCATGCAATTCAATGCAAAATATTCATATATAGGATGGTCGGGGTTAATTCCCCCTCAATTCGGGCCCCGATACGCGTTTTCGGCAAAAACGGAAATCGGAGGCAGCAGCTTACCCGGCCCCGGGTATGCCCTATACCCGGCGCCGGGTATGTCCGGAATTTTGGGTCAACGGCCCGTTGACCTCCGAGTTGACCCCCGAAACGTGCTCCGTTTGGCCCGAAATTTTTACACCATATATATTATGTCTAAGACAATCAATAAATGCTATTTTGGCCATTCAACCACCTCTTATGTTTTATATGAATATTTCCAATCATTTCCATGAATATTATTCTAGTTTATTTTTCCATAAACTAGTTCACCTTGATAACTTGCAAGATTAAGCACTTTTTATTCCTCACAAGGATATCACCTTGAATTACCTTTAATCACCTCACAAAATGAGTCATTCATGGTTCATCATTCAATTAGAATATTATATTCACAACATTATTAACTAAGTCATTGATACTAGTTAATCATTTTTGTATATTACTCTAGTTTATTTCTCATAAACTAGTTCATCTTAGTAGCATGTATACTTAAGCATTTTTTAATTCTTCACAATAATAATACGTGAATTACTTTGGTCATTTCTCATATGAGCCAACAAAAACATTTATATTAGTTAATTATACCTTGTATAATTCCCTAGTTTATTTCTCATAAACTAGATTTTACTTTAGTGGCTTGCGTGATTTAATACTTAAATCCTCCACAAGAATATCATCTTGAATTTCCTTAGTCCTTTCCCAAGTAATCATTCATGATTATTCTTCATCAATAATATTAGTAATTCTTTACTCATTAATCATGCCACTTTCACTTAATTTATAATCAATATGGTTAATCACATGTTTAAACACTTTTAAACATTTTTATACATACTCACATACTAGATTAATCTAGTTAGTCTCATACATAGTCCAAGTATGCATTTTTATACATTTGACAATAACATATCCATGATTAATCCACAAATTAATCTCTTATCCATTAACCATATAATACTTTCATATTTCATATTCACCATGACTAATCATGCATTTTAATCCATTTAATCATTTCTCAAATCATGATTATGATTTTATTTAGGTAATCCCACGTTTGACTCAAGAGTTACAAGACACGTAGTCGTCCACTCACCTTGAAATGACGCTAACAAGCTTTTATCCTATTTGTTTGAACTCCGACGACCTTTGAATTTTCCGGTGAAAACTCCAGCGGCTCCGGCGACTTTCCGGCCACTCCTAGATTCCTTGAGAAGTATAGAATACCTTGGTAAAATTCCTAACAAGGTTTCACAACCAAAAGTGGTATAAACGTCAAAACCTTCCGAGAAGGTGTTTTCCGGTGAACCGGTCTTACTCCGGTCATAACTCCATTCATGGTCAAAACTAACCTTCCAACCCTGCATGCTACACCTCTAGAAGTGTAGAACGAACTTAAGGGTCCATCATATGATTTATAAAATCATATGAGATTAAAATGAAGGAGAAAAATACTAATGAAGTCATTACCTTGATTTTTCTAAGTTTTTCTCTTCTTTTCCAAGCTTTTATTCTTCCTTGAGCCTCCTTCAACCTTGAGCTCGGTTTTTGGACATGGAGATGAGAAGTTGCAGACCTCTTCTCACTTATTTTGGTGTCTTGGTCGAAATAATGTGGGAGGGTGATGGTTGAGGGGATATTTTGTCTCAAAGGTGTGATAATGGTGAGAGGGAGAGCCCACCTTATGTCCCTTCTCACCCAACTCTCAACTTGATTCAATGTATGAAGTCCACACCATCTCAATTGGATGCAAAAAGTCGTGGGGTGGCCCCCACAAATGTGGGAGGTCATCCCTTTATGTCCCAAAGTGTGTATTTGGTCCCGAAAGTTGTATTTTCCGGACTGTTTTAATTAAATTTCATTTTATCGGGTCAAATAAAATATATATCATTCTTCCAATTAATATTGGCCTCTAGAATGAATATATATTATCCCACTTTAATTTCGTGGTCGCTGAAATTAATTTTGGGCTGTTATCTGTTTAATTACCTATACCGGTAATGAGACCTCGTTTGATCGAAAGGCCAACTTTATGGCTCAAAATTTATTTACACCCTCATATAAATATTATCTAGACCAAGATGAAAGCAATATGTGGTCCGTAAGTATCGGATGGTCCCCGCTCCTAGTGTAGGCCCAACGTGCAATTTACTGTTCAAGTAACAGTAAAAATGAGAACACGTCATCTCGTAAATTCATTAGCAATTTCTCATGACTCAATATGTGTATTGATATTTTGTGACATTTTAATAAAATGTTACACATCTTTTTGAGTGATCCTAAATGTAAAAACAGATAAAATCTTATCTGTTTGTTCCCAAAATAAAATATCTTTAAGGTAGGGTCCTCCAAAAGTACCCTCCTTTAATATACCAAGTTAATCAATATTATTCATCCCATTATTTTTGGTTTCTTAAAATGTTTATATTTCTTCTGTTATAAATTCGTAGTCCTACGAATTATTGAAAGTCCGATAATTAAGGACTCCCCACTATCGAATAGTGGCCCTGGCCCGCTCGGCCGTCCAGTTGTCGCTCTTTATAACAATGGGGTCCACGACCCATTCTTACTATCATAATAGTATCATTTTGGAAAATAGTAATATTTTATAAACTTGAAATACCACGTGTGGTCCCACGTCTAAATTAATAACCCTTTATTAATTTAGGACGAAATTTTACTTTCTCATTTATCGAGACTACTCTTAGTCTTGATTTATCTTCTTTAACCAAGTACTTTACGAAAAAAATTTATCTGGGTAAAATTCGGGTCCGGTGTTACACAATACGTGAAGACTTGAACTATGCCTTACGTGTGACACCGCACCCGAACGTCCTTGAAAATTTGATGTTAAAATTCAAAGTTTATGTATTGGATTTCTGATTCCCAAACAATTGTAAAACGATTAATGTTTTACGTAATTCATGATCGATTATTATACCGCTCGAACTCGTACATTAGTGTTGGGCTTGCGAATACTCGTTTGGGCCTTATTAATAAATAAAAGACCCTAGCGTTATCTAAATAGCTATACATAACGTTTCAAGGCAAGTTGAGGAAGGGCGGGCAGCCCAGATATTATTTTGGGCTCAACCCGCTAAAATAGCAAAATATTTGAGGACGGCGTCGTAGGCCCACTCGGGGGCGACCCACACGGCTAGTGGCCCAATAATATGGATGGCAAATGTCAAAATAAGTGCTAGGATGAGTTGAGATGAACACAAATGCCTATGATCCCATCTTTGACATTTTTGAGCTAAATAATGGGAGTAGGATTTTCCTTCTATAATGTCCATCAAGTAAATTATTGAGATGAGCCTACACATATTGGAGATCAATAATGTGATGTAGGAGGTTGACTTGTTCTAAATAAATTAGGATGAGTACAAAAGACATATTTGACAAAAGATAAAACAATAGGACCCATCTTTCCATTTTTGGGAGTATTGGTAGATATTTTGGACCCCAAAATAATTGGGATCAATGGGGAACCACCCCACATGATTTTAGTACCTGCAAGACAAGAAAAATAAGTGAGGAGACTTACCTTGGCCGCACAAGCTGGAGGAGAGCTGCACAAGACTTGATTGGAATCAAACTTGAGACCCACCTTGTCAATTTCCGCACAAATCATGGGTGTGGTTTGTCTCCCTCCTTAAAGGGAGTTGTACTCGTCCAAATGAGGTGTATAAGGTGTCCTTGGATAGCCTTTGAAGTCTATTTTCATATTTGAGTGGCCTCTGTTCGAGAGGAGAGAGTTATCTTACAAAAATCGAGCTGGAGTGAGCCGTGGTCTGTAAACTCGAGCTGTGAGAGTGCTGAGACTGTTGGGTTGATATCTCGAGCTATACTAATCCAATTAAGGCGTGTGAGATACCACCAGAAATCTCTCAAGACGAGGAATCCGTGAAGGTCTGGTTTGCAGCCATCGGAGTAGTGTAAGGCTTCCAAACCGTCCGAGCAAAACACAACCTCGCAGAAACGGATCTACTCTTCTAAAGTGAGTTGTTAACCCCAAAACCTTTCCTTTCATTTTCCAAATGATATGAACGATTGGTGGAACTATTGTACACTAATCCAAGTGTATAACATGTCCTTGTAAAGTTATTTTATTGATGTAAAGGTTAGATACTAACCTAGAGCAAATCTTGGAAAACTAGGAAACGAGTTAGCCGGAAAACACCCATTCTAGGGGCTGTTTTCGTATCAACGATTAGGGGTTGAAATAGAAACTTGAGGAGGCTGTTTAACACCCATTTTCAAGCAAGGAACCAGTTCTCAATCTTCCTTGGCCGTGGCTTTGGTCATTGGATTGAGAAGGAAAGTTTTAAAGCTCATTTGAGGTGAGGATCGACATCTAGTTGCTTACAACTTGTAGGTTAAGCATGAGATTACCTAAATGCCTAAATAATGTTTTCCATGGATTATGGTGATAAATTATTGATGGAATATTGATCGATTTTCCAAAGAATGAAATGAGAAATGATTTGGTAAAGTATTGATGAAAATGGAGTTAAATAAACTATTGTGTGAAATAGGCATTTTACTCATGTGTGAATTGTGTAGATACATAAATGATTATTTATGTATTACATTGAATGATTAAGTTGCTGCTACATATCTCTAAATATGTAGGGTTTTACAAATGGAACATATGATTGATAAGAATAATCTTAATAGTATTGAAATACTAGTTAATGATTGTTGTAATTGTTGAAGAATTGAATCTAAGGATTTGATTGTAATTGATGAACTTGATTGTGATGCAAGTGACTAAATTGATGTAATGTGATGCTAAGATCATGGTTGGGCAGTCCGTAGGGATGTCCCAAAATAGATTATTGATATTACAATTCTAGGCATAGTGAGTGCTTAGGAATTGGGGTCTATGCCAATGTAAGGAGATGTACTTGAGCCCGTGCTCATAGAATTGCATTGGGTAGACATGATGAGGTGATTGTTGTGCATGGTGATGTAGTCGAGTTGGACTCGAGAAATGCACGGTGGAGTAGTTGGCTTATGTTAATTAAGGTGCATGGTGATGTAGTCGAGTTGGACTCGAGAAATGCACGGTGGAGTAGTTAGCCTATGTTAATTAAGGTGCATGGTGATGTAGTCGAGTTGGACTCGAGAATGCAAACATATGTGTTAGGGTTGAACCCTATGTATTGTTGTGACTAGGGGTCACGGGATTTGGGGTATGTTTGATAAACAAACCTTGGGCCTACGGGCCGACTACTTGACTTTATATATAAAGTGAGTATATTTTTAAAAAGGGGTAACTTGGGGTTACGGCCTAGATTATACTATCACCCTATTTGAGGGTCTTGTGTTTGAAATACTTGTTGTATATCTATTAGATGCCATCCACACCAGCACTTTATAGCCCTATAGAGTGCTGACCCCTTCGGGGGCGTCCCACCACCATTTTTCAGGTTGAGGCTAGAGCTTGCTTCCTGTGCTCGTTGCTCGAGAGATCATCTAGGAGCGAAGACTTGGTTCATGCTTCCTCCATTCGGATTTTAAACATTAATAAACATGCTCATGGATATTTTACTATGGAGCCTGCGCGCTCATGAATAGCCCGGTGTGGCCTTTTTGTTTTAAACAATGTTTTCCGCTGCATTATGAATTACTTATTATGTTTGTTTATGGATGTTATATGTGTGAATGATATTCATGACGCCTTGTATAATATGAATGTGTTGGACTGCGGTTGACTATTCGTATTGTACGGCGGGTTGTTGACGTGTCCGGGTAGGTCCGGGGCGTGACATTACGACTGGTAAAGATACTTGATAGGCGAGTAAAGAAGCTAAGAAGCAAGAATGTCTCAATGATCAAAATCCTTTGGAAAAGTGACCGAGTTGAGGAAGAAAATTGGGAAATGGAAGCCTTGATGAAGAAACAATATGCATCTCTATTTGAATGAGCAGTTGTGAATTTCGGGGACGAAATTCCCGTTAAGGGGGGTGAACTTGTGACACCGCACCCGGATATATTAAATTTGAAATTCAATATGGATTTGAATTTTCCTAGCGAATAAAACCATGTAACAGATTGGCGTGCAATTAATTAATGCGTGATTAATTAAATTATTTATCGGGCCTGTAACATTGAGAATGAGCTACCAAATATTTAAATTGGGTCATCATAATAATTATAGAGGCTCAATAGAATGTCAACGAAGGTTGATAAAAATGTTTGGACAACCCGACTGCTATTTTGACCAAACCTGCCAAAAATAGCAGGACTAATTGGGGGGAACTTCCTACACCCACTTGGGGATTTTTCTACATGATTTATGGTCTCCAAGTAATGGAGTGGAGACAAGATGAGGTGGCAAATTTGGACTTATAGAGGAGGGAGTGATTGGAGACACAATCACACTCCCTATGTCCTATCTACACCTCAAATTGGGGCTTTGATTGAGGATAGATACCTCCCCCCTCATTTGAGCCATATGAACAAACCAAGGAAAGGGAGAAGCTCTAGGCAACACCATTGAAGGAAGCAAGAAGAGAGGAAATCCAAGAAGAAAGGGGTTGTGTTTGAGGAAAGAACTCAACAAACATCCTTTAACTAGTATTATTATTGTATGATTTTTAAGGAATCATATAGTGGATTAAATCATGAGTTCTACACATTTAAAAGTGTATTATATTAATATAAAGTTGTGGTATTTAACTTAGAAGAGTCGT